AGAAGAATAGCGCTTACAGCATGATCAAAGACGGCCAGGTACATGTAAAGTACTTCTTTAGGCAAAAGACTGACCAGCCTCGGCAAGGAATGCAAATGAACCTTCAATTTTTGGAAGGCCGCCTCAGCATCCGGCCCCCATTCAAACCTTGCCTTTTTCTTAATGGCCTGGAAAAAATATAGGCATTTGTCGCCTGATCGGCTTAGAAATCTTCCCAAGGCCGCCAGACAACCCGTTAGCTTTTGAACCTCTCGGACGGTGCGAGGCGGTTGCATGTCGATGACCGCCTGCACTTTCTCAGGGTTCTCCTCTATTCCTCTCTGATTGATGAGGAATCCGAGAAATTTCCCAAACTCAACCCCAAATACACATTTCTTGGGATTGAGCATGACATGGTGCCGCCTGAGTGTGGCGAAAGTTTCTCGGAGGTCCGACAGATGATCTATCTGAAGCTTAGACTTAACAATCATATCATCAATGTATGCCTGGACGTTCCTCCCAATCTGATCAAAGAACACAGTATTTATCATTCGCTGGAAAGTGGCCGGGGCATTCTTCAGACCAAACGGCATGACCGTGTAACAGTATAACCCTTGATCGGTAACGAAGGTCGTCTTCTCCTGATCTTTCTTCCATAAAGGAATTTTATGAAAGCCTGAGTAGGCGTCCATAAAGCTCATCAAAGCATAGCCGGCTGTTGAGTCGACCAAATTATCAATTTTAGACAGAGGGTAACTGTCTTTGGGGCACGCCTTGTTTAGGTCCGTGTAGTCCACACACATTCGCCAGGTACCATTCGGCTTTTTAACAAGCACTACATTTGCAACCCAGTCTGGGAAGTAACATTGCCGAATGAACCCTGCATCAAGTAATTTCTTAACTTCGGCGGCTGCCGCCTGACTTCTTTCTTCGCCATGGTTCCACTTCTTCTGCCTTACCGGCTTCTTTTTTGGATCCACGGCCAGCTTATGTACCGCCAGGTCAGGACTGATGCCTGGCATTTCATGGACTTCGAATGAAAAGATATCTTTGTATTCTTTCAAAAGTTGATGAAAGTCTTCACCCAGAACTCTCAGAGCAGTCGTCCCAACCTTGACTGTTCGGTTAGGGCGCGAGTCGTCTAGGATGAGGTCCGTATGCTCACCAGTCGGCTGAGGGCGGAATTCATCTGACCGCTCCTATGCTAATGATTGCTATTGTTTCTCTTTTCTTGCGGCCCCCATCTGGGCAGCCTTTCTTTTCTTGCCGCCTGCTTCTTGAACAGGCGCACTCTCCTTGACATTGTCAAGGTCTGTTTTTCCACCACTTGACCCAGCGGCCATGACAGTGGGCTTGATATCCGAGAGATAGCACTCTCGGGCCATCTTCTGATCTCTCCTTAGGGAGCCGACTGTCCCATCATCCCTCTCGAATTTGAGCAACATAAGAGACGGGATTATAACAGCCTTGGAATTATTCAGGGTTGGTCGTCCCAGAATTATGTTGTAGGCCGAGAGTTCCTCAACTACCAGGAATCGGACCACCATATGGCGACCTTCCCCTTTTTCACCCAAGCGGATGGGTAAATCCACTCGTCCTAATGGGTGGACTCCTCCTCCTCCAAACCCTACTAGAGGGTGGGATACCGGGTTTATGCAATCAGTTTGGTATTTGAGCTTTGACAGACATTTGCTACTGATAAGATCTGAGGAACTGCCGGTATCTATAAGGATTCGGCCAACTCTCTGGTTGGCCACTTTACATTCAATAACAATAGGGTCGTCATGCGTCCCCCTTACCCCTCCTAATCTTCTTCAGTGATGACAATTTCAGGAAATGAATATTTGGAGGGCCGTTCTTGGTGAACGGAATTGACGTCTAGCCGCCTGATATTGTCTTTGTTGCCCCTGATAGTGGGGCCGCCTCCTGAGAAGTCGCCTGCAATGGTATAGACAACTGCATCATCTGTATCAGAGCTGTCGGCCTGTTAATTCTTTTTGGCCGACTGCTTTTTCGAGGAAGTGTTCCCCTTAGATTTCTTTACATAAGAGTCAAGGTCGCCTTGTTCAGCCAGGCGGTCCAGATACCGCATGAGACTGATGCATTCGTTGGTTTCATGACCAACGTCTTCATGATAATGACATAATTTTTCTTGGTTTCGATTGCTCGCAGAACCCTTCATGGGGGCCGGCTTCGCAATTGAGATCCGTCCCTTGATTTCTTTTAGGATAGCTTGGCTATCCTTGTTAAACGCATATTTTGGGGAATATGGTTTGAATTCTTTCTTCTTCTTCTGGGCCGACTGTTTAGAGGAATCAGCCGCCCAGACCTTTTTTCGCTTCTTGTCCTCTTTGTTGGACGACTGCTTCTGTCGCCCTTTTTTCTTGTCGAACCTCTTTCCGTCCGACTGCTTTCCAGTATTACAAAGATCAGTCGCCTGTATATAGGCTTCAACTTCAATCAAGGCTTCTGGAAGAGTCGCCACCCTCTTTCGAACCAAATCAAATTTGAAGGTCGACCCGTCTTTAAGGCTTCTGAAAAAGTCAGTATAGGCCACCTCATCCGGTAGCCCTTAAATATGTATTCTCATTAGGTTAAACCGTCTGATGTAAGAACAAAGCCCCTCCTTCTCACCCTGCTGAATCGTCCCTAAATCAAGGGTCGTCTTCTTCGCAGGTATGTTCATGGCAAAGTTGGAGGTGAATAGGTAAGCAAGCGTCCTTGAAGTTATTCACACAACCAGTCGGCAGGTTGCCGAACCATTGTTGTGCGATTCCTTTAAGAGTCGCTGGGAAACACTTGCACCAAGTGGGATCATCCAACCCTTGGAGGTACATCAGGTTGGTGAATGCCATCAAATGGTCTTCTGGGTTAGTAGTGTCGTCACAGGCGCCTATTAACACATTTTTAACTTTGGCCGGTTGAGCGGCTTCAGTAATTTCCTTGGAGAAAGCCGACGGCTGTTCTCCAAGTCTAAGCAGCCGTAGCTGCCAGTCCAAAGGTTGGACATTTTTTGCCGCCTGTCCTCCAAACGGAGGGGGTTGCAGAAAATATTGTTGTTGCGGTACAAAGGGTAAGTTTGGCACCGCCTGGTCACTCTGAAAATCAGACCGACGGGAGGTACCGCCTGTCTGACTCTCATGATTTGACTGAGCATACCTGATAGAGGTATTGCGCAGACTATCCTGAAAATCTGAAGTAGAGGCCGACTCTGACAGTCGGTCGTTCCTCTTCTGTTCTAGCAATAGCCGAGCATCTGTATATGTTTTCTTCGACCCATCCGCCTGTATATGACGAACGGGCTTCCTCTTTCCTGGAGTAGGGAAGTGGTACATTGTGAAATCAAGTGCAGACGGCTCCCACTTCCTAGAGTTAGGATGAGGGGTCGCCTCTCGTCCTTGAACAGGCTTTCTCTTCCCTGATGAGGAAGGTTTCTTAGCCGACTGCTCCTTAGCTAGAGCAGGCGTCCTTTTGTTGATCAGGTTCTGAATCTCTCCCTTGAAACCCCTCATGAAGGTCATGAGTTCGTTTCGTGTAATGGGAGCAGATCCTTCAGCCGGCTGCTGCTTAGCAGGCGGTGCGCCGACTGGATCACTGAGTCCAGTTTGAGGATCTTCCCGTTCTCTCCTTTCGGTATGACGGGTACGCCGGGCCCTTAGGGTCCCGTCTGAAGCTGTATGTGCTTCAACTTCAACCTCTTCTTCGGTATCGTGATCCGACTGAACTTGAGGGTCGTCCAGGGGACGCCTCTCTTCTGGAGTTGGTACAGACGTGGATGCCATCTCAAAAGTACTCTCCCCACAGACGGCGCCAAAATGTTTCGGGGTTTTCTGATGTCCTGCGGGAGAGTTACAATTCCGAGACTGGAACCGGACGCCTGTACCTGCAAAACAAACGGATACTCCGAGTGATTGGAGATCCGCCTCCAACGGTCAAGTTAGTACTTGTTCAAGGAGTAATTAATGCGGAATATTGTAATTGAGTCTCTCTAGGTGAGAGTGTTTAATGTGCGTAATCCCCCTTAATGAGGATTAATGAGCATATTTATATGCCTTGGGAAGCGTGCCAATACCTAGGTTTAGGCTTAACCTAGGGCTGACTGGGCTTCCCACAAGGATTGGGCCTTGTTGGCTGATTTTCCCATTTGGCATGGGTGGACACGTGTCGCGTCGCAATTAGTCCAAGGAGGACGCATCTCTGATTGACACGTGGCAGGCTCCTATTGGCCTACGTGAAGGACACGTGGCGGAACCTGGTTGGTCCACTTGCCAGATTGTGATTGGTGGATAAAAATCTCCTAATCAGAAGTATTTTTACCAAATTATATATATTTTTTCCTGATTAAAACTTATTTTTACTGATTTTCTAGTATTTTTTAAATGAATTAAATATATTATAAATAGATCTTATTTTAAAGAACTTTTTAAAACGAATTTTATGATACAAATAGAACCGAGTTATACGATATTTATTAAAAGTTATGATTAATTTTTTATATATGAAATATTAGAAGTATATCGACAATTAAACTCTATACAACAATTTTATCTTAAAAAATCTATTCAAAATTCGCTTACTTAGCATCATATGTGTCACAATAATACCTAGTTTTCGCCTATGTAGCGTGACACTTGGCAAAAAACTGGAATGCCAAGTGTCGCCGTCTCATGACTTGGCTGCAAGACCGACTTTATTTATTAGTGATATGATATGATAGAATACAGAGTAACAAATAAAATCGGTGAAAATTAAAATTGGAAAATTTAGAATAATTTACACTCATCAATGATTCAATGTTATACTCCGTAGTGGCCGACAATTTTTAATTAGTTTACTCCCTTCGTCCCACAATATAGTTTTTGTTTTCTTATTTTGGAGACCCAAATGTTGTTCATATTTCTATTTTGGGATAGTATTTAAAGATCATTAAACCCTCATTTTTTTACTTTATTTATTATACTTCCTAAATAATACTTGAATTTTGCACATGCCTTGTATTTTTTTTCACTTTCTCTCCCCCTTTTTTTTTGTTGTTGAAAGATTTCTAACTTTTGCCTATAATTAAACTTTTTAATTTTTTTTAATGTACATCATCCACTCTCTCCTCCCATTTCTTAAATATGTAAAAAAAACACAAACATAAACTATAAATAGGGACGGAGAAAGTATAATCTATAAATAAACCTTTATAAAAATGGGAAGTTGGCTAATACATTACCACCCCCAAAAATAATGGAATTTCGATCCTAATTGGTTGATGCTTGGCTGCTCTCTCACCGAATTCCTTCCCTCTCTCTCTTCTCAACTCAGAAAAAAGGCTCAGAAACAAGGAGAGAGAAACGATGTCTTCCTGAGTTCCTTCGACACCTTCAGCAACCACCGATCAACCCTTCGACGATGGTTATGGGGCTTCGATTCTTCTAAACGTTTCAATTTCTCCAGTTTCGGCTCGCCGTCTTTGAGGTTCCCGTTCGGTCTGAGGTTGTGGTTTGATTTCCTCCATTAAAGCAGCTTCTTGAGATAAGACCTTCATCCTTTTTATAATCATCTAATATCAATTTTGACAATCTAGGGTATAGCTTTAATTTTCTACAAGTCCACTAATCCTTTTTTGTGCTATGTTTTTTTTGGTTAAGCTTCTTAATTAATTAATTTTCTCAAAATCGATTGAAAAATCGAAGTATTTCTTGATGAAGGAGTGGTGATGAAACTCTTAAGGATTTTTGCCCTTTGATTTTGACCTAAGAAAGGGAAAAAGTGGAGAGAAGATGCGATGAACGGCGGCGGAGGTAATAGTGGTGGCAAAGTTCCTGGAATCAATTTGATGAATCTCATAAACTTGTAAGGTATTTTCTCTCCTTCAATTTCTCTAATTTTACTTCGGTTTCAAACTTTCAATTATTGATGTTCAATTTCTGCGAATTATATCGGCTGATTCGTTGATTGTTGTTGCTTTCATCCTTGTTTTGGATTGATCAGTATAGTGGTTGCAAAATTTGTGAGCGGGAGTTAAGAATTGGGTGGTAATTGATCCCATCCATCTCTAATTTTGTTCTAATATTCAACTAATTGATGTAATTAATTGGTGTAGTAGCTTATTTTATCAAATCATGGCTAATCTCGAAATAATGAGCTATATTGCTTGTTCCTTTTCTACGTATTTCAGTATGCTCTTCCCTCTCTCTCACAAAGTTAATACTGTGTTTTTGGGTTAATGTGCTTTCCTCCTTATTGAAATGAAGAAAGCTTCGATAGTAAGGGTGACTGTGAAATTGAGTGGGAATTTAGGGAATGTGAAGGAGTTGATGAAAAATGAGGATTTTGTTGAAGCAGAGAAAGGGGTTAAGAACTTGAAAATGGCATTGAGGATTGGTGATGTTGATGAGGAGAGAGAAAATAAGGAGGTTGTTGTTAATGGTTTGCTCAGGAAGCAATGGTTGCCTGCTTTGAGGAGATAAAATTAGAGTAATTGATTGTACTTTCTGTTGATTAGGGTTTTAATTTTAATTTTGTTTGATTTGATTTTTGGGGGTTTTTATAAGGTGTTGTGATGATCGGTCTGATAAATTGCATTTGTGTTTGTAGATTCGAGATTTGCTTGTCAAGTTAATGAGCAATGTGGTGAGTTTTGACTCTGCATTGGGTGGAATCGGGTTGTTTATCGCTCTAGCGTAGGTGATGCTCATGGCGTCAGCTTCATAGAGTTTTGGAAGCCATGGATGTAAGTTCTTGTTTTGTTGCATTATAGTGAAATCTTAGTTTCCTGTAGGGCATTAGTAAACCAATTTCAATTTTCGCTTTTGAGTCTTTGCTTCTCTTTTTCTTTCATCTCGCTGTCTTTCTCTAGAACAGGGGTTTTAGAAGATGTAAATGTAATCAATCTCATTTTATCCCATCTCAATCCTAATTTTGTCCCCATTTTCTAGGGTTTTGCTCTGATTTTCTGATTTTCTGATTTCAATTTCTATTTCTTTTGATCTTCTTGTTTTGCAGGTTGATGAGCTTCGGAAACAGTTCGAGGCTACACAAAAATCTGGTATTTTTTTTATCGAATCCTTTCGATATGAAATAGATTTTTGTCAAATGTTAGTATTTTAATTGTTTCTGGGTCATTGTAAAATGTCAGATTTCACTCTAAATTATCTTTATTTTGCTCAAAGATTACTGGGTTTTGCATATGATTTTACTTTGTTGGAACATATAAAGGTTGGTTTTTGAGGTGAAAAGTATGATTTTGATTGTTTGATCCGTGTGTCATTGGGTGAATTGTTTGATTTCCATAAATTGATTTGCTGAAATGTCTGAAATTTAGCCTAACTACATAATGCACTTGATTGAAATGCTTATTGCAGGCTGTTTTCTGAAGTGTAAAAATGATTGTGAATTGTTTTGTTATTAGTTATTGAAGAGAGTAAATATTCGGAATTGATGTTGATACTGTACAGAATGCTGAATTAGGGAAGGTAATTACTTCTTATTTAATGCTTTGACTGTCCATGAAACAAAACTCAAAGTGAGTACCCTTGATTGCTTGGTATCGTAAAATCAAGCTAATAGCTATTGACCTATTGCAGATACAAGTATATGATGGCGAGGATCTTGTTGGATCATCCTTGTCATTTTCTATTGAAATTATTCACGATAAGTTCGTTTGATTATATGTCGTCTCAACTGCTATATACTATACTTTGCTCTGTTAAAATTGTGATACATCTATATTTTTCCCTATTTCATGTCATAATATCCTTACAGTAAAGACCATTCGATTACGAAATTGGTTTCTATGTTACAAACTTAGAAGTGTAGTGTTTCATACTTTACTTTCTTACAATTAATGTTATTTGTTCATGCAGTTAATGTTTGGGGATAATTTTGACAGCATTATGCTTTTATTGAGTTTGTTGGATATTCTGCATTATTTGGGAATTGGGAAGCGTATGTTTATATTTTTGGTGGGTTGTGTGATCATTTTCTGATAAATCTTAAGGGTGGGGATTTATTAATTTAACTGAGTAGGCCATACTGCCATACACCTATTGTTGTTGTTAACTCTCAAATGTACCTTGAAGATGGAATTAAAGCTTACACAATTGCACACTTTTGCTGGAAGTGTTATTGTGTTAGCCTTTATAGATTGAGTTCTTTTGTCTATCATAGTGCACTTATGTTGACGTCATTAACCTGAACTAGACACTGGATAGTTTGGAACTTTCTGCTCACTTGTCCAAGCCTCCAGATAATTCATAGCACTGGTTTCTGCCGAAATATATGAATTCCTATTTGATGTAGTGCCCTAGGAGATATGAGCAGAGAGACTTAGTGCTTTTAAGAGTCCATTTTGTTTCCCTTTTCTGCTTATTTAATCTTTACTTGATTTTATTAATACTTAATCCTTTAATTTAACTTCAAAAAAGTTTTAGTAGATTCTAAAATCAATTGTGCTTTTATTTAATCACGAGCCATCCTATTTTAATCTGCATATTAGAAGGAATGCAAGAGTAAAGGTCGATTAGGTGCAGCATATTGTTTAATCTTATTTTACTGTGCTTACTTCAAACAGTGAATGTGGATCATTTGATGGAGCCATTACCATAGGAAACACTAACATCCATATTTAGTTTATTTTAATGTTGATATGAGATTCATTTTGTTAGGGACATCCAAATCATAATATCCTGTATATAGTGTCTTCCATTTTAATGAGATTAAGTGATCAATTGTTTCCAAAATGCTTTCAATATTATACGCAGTCTAGCTTGATGTCCTCTGCATCCTTTGGTAAATTGCTTTTTATGTGTTTGTGATTTGTGTCTGTTTCTTGTAATTTTGCAGGTTGTTAATATATTTTTGTTTTAAATTTGCTATGGCGGGTTGAATTGATTTTTTGCTGATGCCCTCTTCAGATCCAACTACAGTCAGTGTTGGTATTATCGGACTCTTGGGAAGCAAGGGTTTCTCTTGGTTATCTCTTACTCCTTAAATTTGCTTTGGGTTTTGTATTCTAATGCTTATCTTTCTATCAATTGCGTGCATTTTTGTATTAGCCATTTTACTTCATATGATTGATTTGTCCTAGAAAAAAACTATGTTTGTACTCAGCAGCTTCATTAGAATTTGAACTTTTAATCTAACAATTGTTAGGTTTTATATATGCTCAAGCTTTGTTATGACATACATTGCCATTTCTTTTAGAAATTGTCTATTTGCCAAACCAATTAGGTAACTAATAAGGATAGAAATAGTTGCCTTAGTGAACAATTAGTACAACTTATTCTTTTTATTGATTGTTGGGCAGCAGAATTGCAGATTAAAGAGGTAATACTAATAAATACAGCTTATTGGTAGATGGTGTCCTGAATAACCGATTATCGGCTAATGACTGAAATGTATGGTATGTTTTATTTTTTTAATTACCTGAATGCAATTTTTGATGAAATGTAAGGTGTGCTACAATTTTACGTCAGGAAACATTGTTGTAGAGATGTCCAGAGCTGGAAAGCATCCAAGGAACAAGCAATAGACAGTGCTATTCTAGATCAGATTTGTAAGATGTTTTCTATTTAAGCTCCCTTGCCAGATTATCTAGAATATCATAATGAGTCCTTGAAGAACTCATAATTGTACCTCAAAAAATATTGTTGATCTTACATTAGTGTGTCACAGTTTATGAATCTAAATCTTTTGCTAACTACTTGGGGCGTACTAAATGTTAGAGTAATCTAACCCTGGAAGACATCTTTGTTTAAATAAATAATGGCTAGGATTTAAACTAATTGCTTTTTTTTAGCAAAAATGGATGATTTTTTTAAAACTTGTGAGAAATAATAAGGGTTGTTTTAACCTCTAGATAATCTAATGTGATGGTGTGTTTTATGTATCCCTCGGTTATTAATTATCCCTTAGTTTATGTGTTCGAAAATCATTTTGATTACATGTCAAATAAGTTACTCGGTAAAGATTTTGGGAATCATATTAGCTGCCAAGAGTTTACTTTTTAGTCAAAATTGGCATAAAATTAACAAAAACCTTTATTTTGCGTGTTAAGAAATGCCTCATACCTTGAATTGTTGTACCCATTAAGAGTTAGAGGATGGTAAGGGTGATAAATATAAGTTCAAAATTTGCTTTATACAAGTAGAAATTTATTTAAAAAATGAGAGAAATTGTGATTAAAAAAAGATAACACTTTTAAGACCATATTTAAAGTTAAGTTGAGGAATATTGAGCGTTTGAGCATTTAAAAATAAAAGTATTAGTGTACGGTTTGTTCATGCATAGAACAATTAGGTTTCAACAAACTCCTTTCATTAAAAAAATGTTGTGATTAAATCTACATGGATCTGTGACAATTATGAGGAAGTCAACTAAATAGTAACACCTTGTAGAATGAAAATTTCAACATTATGGTAGAATCGTGCTAGATTTTTTTTTTTTTTTTTTTTGTAAGTGTTGTTTTTATGTTTATACAACCATAGCAATAGATAACTTTAGAGAAAGAGATGGTGAGGGGGAAGCATGGGGATAAGGAGTGGATGAGAGAGAGAGAGAAGGGGGATGTGTGAAAGAAAGATGCATCGAGAGAAGAGGGAGGGATAAAGAAGTAGAGAGAGAGAGAGAGAGAGAGAGAGAGAGAGAGAAATAGAGGGAATGGGTGAAAGGTAGATGCGTTGAGAGTTGGAAGGGTCAAGAGAGAGAAAAGGGCCAAGAGAGAAAGAGGAAGGGCAGGCTAAGAGAGAATATGGGTCGGGAAAAAGAAAGAGCATAAGAGAAAAAAGAACAGGGAGAGAGAAGCCGAGAGAAGAGAAAGAGAAAGAGAGAGAGAACGAAGAGCTGGAAGAGAATTGAAAAAGAGTGAGAGAGAAAGAGAGAGAGAAGGAGGGTCAGGGAAAGAGAGAATCAGAATAGAGAAAAATATAGAGATAAATAGAGACAGAGATAGAGTGATCATGAACGAGAGGGATCGAGAAAGAGATAGCTTGACTGATAAAGAGAGACAGGGGGGGGAGGCTGAAAGAATGAGGGGATAAAGAGAAGTCGGGTGAGATTAAAGGGCCGGGGGAGTGAGATCAAGTGCATGCAACCTAATAATTTTCACAGCCTTTTAAAGGATGGAACAAGGACAAGAAAGACTAGGGAAGAAAGAGAGTGGGAGAGAGTTTAGGCCAATAAAGGAAGGAATGAGTGAGAGAAGAGCAGTCGACCAATAACTTTCAAATCCGTAGAAAAAGAACAATTAAGACAAGGTAGGGGGAAAAGAAAAGGAAAAAGAGAGGGACAATTTAGGGCAATAGAGAAATGAAAATGTGGTACTTGTTCCCCTATCACTTGCTTATTACCGCCTTTTTCAAATAATCCTTTTTTCCCACTCATTTCCATTTTACTATACTTTCGAAACTAATAAAACACTTTGTAGAAGACGAGTGAGTAGTTGTACTCTACTTAATGCTTAATATTTTTAGAGACATGTTTATTAACTAACGAGAATAAAATTCAACTTACTCTACTACTCAGAACCCTAGATTCTCATTCGTAAAACAATACATTAACAACTTATTTATGTTAATTAAAAAACGACCTTGAAGATAATGATTAAGTGAATATAACTTATAATTATTATAAACTTATAAATTAAATTGTAATAAACATGTATCAAAAGCGTTTTTATTGCTTAATTCATATACAATTGCACCGATTAATCCCCTAAATTAGCGCTTAGCAAAACTATTTGAAAATCCGAAAATATGATGATTTGATCCGCACATGATCCAAAAATTATGGATATTCGATCCGAAAAAAAATCAGATATCGGATATTCAAAATAATCACACACGATTAACATTAACACTACAACAAACTATTTTTTATAATACATTAAATTAAGCTCCCCTAATCAGCATGTTAATAACACCTCGAACTACGAAACACGGTCACAGCCACGAAACTTACATATCTTACAGTTGGGGGGCACGCGTGCTCCAACAACTATATATATATATATATATATATATATATATATATATATATATATATATATATTAAAGTGGGAACTGCAACTACTGTTCTTAGTACAATGTGTGGTTCCTACACTTGGGAGTACCATGCGTATGGTACACCTGTATCAAAACAACAGACCCACATCAGGTATAGATAGAGTAGAGAAAGGCGGAAAGAACATCAGGTATAGATACAAAATACACGACATTAAATATGAATATTCAATTTCCTTTAATTTAGGAAAAGATAATTATTAATTGATCTTTAATTACCCACATATTAGCTGTCATATCTTTTCAAAATATTTGAGTTTTCCAAATTCATTTTTTATCTCTCTTCATATTGTTTTATCCCAAAAAAATGCAATCTTTTCCAAGACAAAACGTTCAAATTTGTATTGGAATTTTTTTTTTTTTCACTAAAAAAATTATATCCCTATATTTTCAAAAAAAAAAAAAGTTCATATTTTTCACTTAAAAATCCTTTTTTTTATATTTAATTAGTTTATTAAATCTTGTAATGGTCGTCTAAATTATGATCATGTGTATCTTTTGTAATGTTCATTAGATGATTTAATAATGTTCTTTATCGGAAAACACGTAGTATTTTATATTTTTTTTGTAATGTATAATTACTTAATAATAATATAGAGTATTAATTTTGCAAGTTCGTTATTATATCATATATTCTTAATTAGTTAATAATATTGCATGTTCTTAATTCAATCTTTTGGTAAACCATTTTAAATATGCATGTTCATCAATTGTAATTGTAATGTACTTTTACTATCCCTTCATTGCTTGTTGTGAATTATTATTTAAAATTTGTCTTTTGATCATAGTGGTTAATTCACGTATTGTTCATTACATGATAGTATCATGTTCTTTATTAATAACATGAATGTCCTTTATCAATATTATGGATGAATGCTTTAGATTTGAAAGCCCATCATTGTCCCAAAAAACTTCTCATCAACCTCGGTAATCCTGATTACAAAAAGAAAAAAAAAACATAATTATTAGATGCTATAAATTAGGAAAATGTGGATAATAATAATAATAATAATAATAATAATAATAATAATAATAATAATAATAATAATAATAATAATAATATAAGGGTTAAACCAGACAAACATGTTTATGTATAATACTCTCTTTTTTTCTAAAAAAAAAACATGAACATGAAAGTATAAAAACATACTATGAAGTAAAAAGAACATTCTTGGTATTATTGAAACCCAAAGAATATTTTTAATTACCGACATATATTTTTTTTCTTTTTCCTGAGAAAGAACGTATGTTCTTTAATATATCAATAATGTTCTTTAATATATCAATACGTTCTTTGATGTCAATAATTTCTGTAATATATACACATTGATTACAACACATTGATTTGAGCAAAGTACATAAAGAATACAACAAAGTACATATATATATTTAGTAAATGTACATGCGTAATATCAACATTGATTTTAGCAACTTGATTTTAGCAAAGTACACAAAGAGTAAAACAAAGTACATATATATTTAGTAAATGTACATGCGTTTTTCATATAATATCAACATTGATTTCAGCACTAATAAATATAATAAGTTAAATAAACGAACATAGCTAAATAATTAAATAACTTCATCTTCAACCTTAAACATATTGCTGTAAAAATAAATATATAATTATAAATCGATAATAAAATTTAAATTAGCAACAATACCTAAATTTAACAATAAAAAATAAGAATTAACAAATGAAAAGATAATCGATTAACCAATTTACCTTCATTTTCGTTTACGATATCCTCGAATTCACCTTCATTACTGATATCATCATCATCATCACCAACAAATCTAGCATCAAAATCATGGCGAAATTTAGATTGATAAACCATTATTAACATCTTCTACAGAGGATTCTATTGATCGGTCGACAAATTTCTCTCTGTAATTTTTTCTCTCTAAAATTTTAGGATCTCTGTAATTTTCTCTCTCTAAAATGTTTAAAAAATGGAAAATGTCAATTAAGGATGATTATCGAAAATTGAAAGCTATTTAAACGGAAAAAACTCCTTGTAATTAAGCTAGAATTTTTTTTTCCCAATAATTTGATTCCAACAATTTAGTTACGCCGCATCACCACATGCACCATAGTGTATTATACAAATTTTATTCGTAGTAACAGTAACTTTTGGTGCTATTACTTTGCGACCCTGAATTCAATGAATTGCCGATGTCCCTTTATTGTTTCTGTTTCTTTGGTGGCCTTGCATTTGGCAGCTGTCTGAGCCAGTTCTTTCTATCTCTTAACTCTCAAGTCTTCTTCCTTCTTCTCCTCTCACTGTCTTTCTCTCTCCTCCCGTTTCTCCTCTCCCCGCTCTCACTAGCTATCTCCTCCATTGAATCGACTATGATCTGCATCGATAATTAGGATTGGATGCGTAATGGAGATTACTCGCCCACCAGATTTCAAGCTCTTTTCGATGCTGTTAACCTCATCTGCGGCGCTAAAACTCAGGTTTTCTTTCTCTATCTGCACTTCTTTTAAACCCTAATTTACAATTAGGGGGTTAAATTTGGTGTCAATGGTGTTGGTTTCATCAATTTGGTAGTTTGTTGTGGATAGTATTTGATGGGTTTGATGTTATTGATATGATTTCTTGTAGTCTAATCCGGAGAATACTGTCGTAATTCTGACTATGGCTGGAAAAGGTGTTCGTGTTTTTGTCACTCCCACCAGTGATCTTGGAAAGATATTGGCTTGTATGCACGGTTAGTTTTCGATCGATCCTCTAATGCCTTCCGTTTTCAGTATTAAGTTAGTTCCTCGATCCTCCAATGCCTTCAATTTTCAGTATCCTTTAATTCTTTGGCAGGTATCTTTCTTTGTTCATTTATGTTTAGTCCATTTCTCAGGTTTTTTTTGGGTATTTATTTGATGAATTTGAATTCTGGGATTTGGGTTTTGTTTATTTTATGGGTATTGTTGGATTTCTGTTTAGAGGGGAAAAAATGAATTTATTTGTGCAATTTGATCCAAAAGTGGTCATTATGCTCATAGTTAAATCTGGTTGTCCTTTGATTTCTCAATTATCCATGTTTATTTTGATTTGAGTTTCTCTACTTTGATGCGAGTATTAGTGAGATTTGGGGAAACGATTACTCATACCTTGACGATCGGTTACTAAAATTAGCTTTACCTTGAATTGAGAATTTCTGTACATGCTGATAACATGGCTGATACTCTGTAATTGTTATTTATGAACTTTAATAAGTGAATTTTTAGTGTTGTGAATGTTATTAAATCTGTTAAGGTAGCTCAAAAGATAGGCATTTTTAGTGTTATAAGATAATATGATTCATTTCTGGAAGTAATTTGGTAAAATCTGGAGTAAGAAATATGTTTGATTACATTGTAACTTATCGAGTCTATATAGGCATAGTGGATCGTTGAGTCCATTCTCGTGTATTGATATATTTTTCTTTAGAGAGAAAATAAGTAGGAGCTGAGTGGCATTTTTCTTATAAACTATTTCATGAATGCATTTTTAGAATTACCTTCCTATAAAATTATGGTATTTAATTTAATTTCTCGATAATTATTATGGAGGAATAGGAAGCTGAATCAATCACTGCAGAATTTAATTTTTTCAGTATTGATATTGAGATTTTTAGCTATACTTTTTTGCTTTTGTTATAGAATGGGACTTCAGAAGAGGTGGTGAAGATAGTAGAAACTCTCAATGCAGGTGAAGGTCATGAAAAGGTATGAAAAGGAATCTCACATTCAAGAACGAGACTAAGTTGCTTGAGCATTTTGTGTAGTTGTATAAATTGCCACCTCATGTATGAAGTTTGGCATGTTTGTAACACTTTGCAGCAACCAGCCTAGATTTATCAGTGGGAAAGAAAATCTGCTTATCATAAAATGATGTTATTAGTTGATTGCATTTGTTGGATGCTTTTGCACTGTTTGCGTGAAGATTGCGACACTATTCATAATATGACTATGGTATGTATTAAATTTTTAGGGAGGAGTTAGAAAAACAGAGAGGGATCATGAAAGATAAATGAAGCTGCAAGAACAAGGGAAAGTTAAGCAAGCAAAGAAAGACTTAGGTCAGTTTTGGGATTATATTCTCACTTTTGCTGTCAAATACTTGTATTGATTGTATGTTCTGTCTGCACTTCTTAAAGAAGCAGGAAATAGATAATGTACCTAAAGTAGATGAGGCTTGGATGAGCTTTGAATAACTTAATGTATGAGCTATCGAATTTGCTATAGAATACTTTATAATAAGCAAATCAACCTCCATACATTTTATAGGCGATTTAATTTTAAATGCTTAGTTTGAATATTTGCATACATCCTACTAACTTGATACATAAGGCTTCAAATCCCTTTTGCTTTGTGTTTGGGTTGATGAATTGGAAGGAAGAGCCTGGGAGATAATAAAGGCAATATATATGTATTGCATTCTCTCTTTTGATTTTAAAAAAGGGGAGGGTAATTAAAAGGGTTCATTTTCCTGACATATAATACACCAAGCTACTCACAAGCGCAAGCCAGGAAGTTATGGGATAGACTTTGTGAATTAGCTTAAGCTGCACACATAAACATCTTAAAGGCCGAGTCTATGTTAGTTATATCAGATTTGTTTTATTTCTTTGCTTTGTTTTCTGATGTGTATATAGATTAGGTTTTTTTTTTTATTTTTTATTTTTTTTATTTTTTCATTTTTTTTGTGCCTTGTGTATATAAGTCTAGGCCATGCTTTGCCCCCGAGCTCTATAGCAGATAAAGTGTATAAAGCTGTTAAAGGCAGCTAGAATAGTAGAATTAAGTATCTTGAATTTAAAGCATCAGTTTTTGCATATGCCTTCATCATCATTGATGTCTTAAATATATGTCCGCAAGTTAATACATTTGTTCTTTTTTGTTTGTTTATCTCTGTAACTGATATATCTGCAGGTTAATAATTTGGTGGTTACAAATATCTCTTAACATGGGTGACATTTAGAATGCTCCTCTTTCACAAGAGGAAACTACTTGTAGGTCTCTTTTTATGAACTTTAGGTATAATAGAAGCTAATTGTTTATCGTGTTTTCATCAGTGATTAGCTCTATTTTTTTTATTCTACTTTTTTTTCAGATAATTTGGGATGTAGTGGGCAAGCCTGAAATATCTAGGGCCAAAGCTTGAGCTTGAGCTTGAACAAGAATGCATAGAAGTATACACGAGCAAAGTTGATGTGGCTAACCACTCTAGAGCTCAGCTACAACTGGCTATTGATGATTCAGATGCAGAAATTGCAACCATCTATTCTGCAATTGGAGAACTTCCATTACATATCAGCTGTCACCTACATACTGTTAGAACAAATCTTAATGATCCATGTTTCCATTGTGAATCTTTGTAGATTTTTAATGCGATTAAGATGTATTCAGATTCATTTCTTTGATCAATTTCTATTAACATTTATTTATGTCAATTTCATATATAATTCCCAAAATTCAATGAAGGAAGAGATGCATATAAGAAAAGCAAACATGAAAGATAGAAAAGCAAACAGGAAAGATCAGTTTCTTAGAGTCATTGAACAAATTAAAATGTCCAATGGGGTTGAAATATACCCCATATTCAAAGTTGTTATCAAATAGGAGTGTTTATTTTGTACCCATTAACTAATTACTAATGTCATTAACAATAGGATGAATTTTGGAATCACTCAACATTGGCTTAGCTTGATTACAATGAGACTTATTTAATCAAGCACAAGTTTAGGTACTGCTTTCTCTGTCTCATATTACAAAGTTTGCATTCTTTTTTAGGTAAGTCAAATTAAAAGCCTATTTCAATACATTTGACAATATTGCCTCCTTTTAATGAGTTGTCATCTTTTTTTCTTTTTCTTTTTTTGTACTAATGATGCCTTTTGATATCAATCCAAATAGTTTCTCCCTCCCTCTCTAAGTCTCTATAATAATTTCCAACTAATTTTTCTCTCTCTAACTCCACATTACACATATGTACCCTCAATGATTAATTTTAAGGAATCTACAACCTACTTAATTCTCGTGAAATAACCCAAATAGGCTTTGTTTAAATGTTTAATTAGCTAACGATATTCAAAGTCAACATACTCTATTATTCAAACCTATAAAAGCTCTTTAGTAAAACTATACAAGAACAACTTATTAATGTTAATTATGAAACAATCTTGAGGATAATTATTAAGTGAACATAACTTATAATTATCATAAATTTATTAATTAAAACGTAATACACATGTATCAAAAGCATTTTTATTTATTACTTAATACATGTACAATTGCACCGATTAATCCATTAAGATGGATGCGGAATTTATTGGGAGCTTCGTTAATTACTTGAGCTAATTTTATAGCGTTTAATCACATAATCGGTTAACAACTTTGACTAGTTTTAATTAGGCGCGTTAATTGGATTAACCACCTAAGTTAGTTACTAGTTTACGCGTATTTTGCGTTGTTACTTGTTTTACATTGTAAAATGCATGATCCATTCACATATAGTGAATGGATGAATGGAATAAATATTCTACCACAGGTTTTACGAAAATGGCAACTACTGGGGCTCGATTAGGATAGTAAATACGGACTGCGATCCTTTATGTATTTTTGTAAATATAAATACGGTCTGCGTACCGTTGTGTATTTTTTGTACCTTAATATTTAGATTAGTCCTAGTCATAATTACTAGTATTTGCATTATAAATGGTTATGTCTCAACGATGGCGATTCTTAGAAGACGAGGCCAAGATGATGTGATGAAGACCCTTGAAGACTTGAAGACTCAAGGGGTCATACTAGTTGCCAAATGCATCTTTTACATATGTTTTCCATATATAATTATGCTCATATATGAATGATATGTTGGATGCATGTTTAGGATTACGAATGTTGCGATGATTAATTTCACTTAAATCAACCAACATAGAAACCCTAGGTCCCTATAAAATTGAGTCAAATTTGCCATTCCAAAATAACACTTACCGAACTAATGTGAATAGTGATGGGCTATGCCAAAGCAAGGCATCACTATCTCCCTAGGAACGTAAGGTATACTAGGTATACAAGTTGATTTTGGTTAAACTCAACGATATCAGTAAGGAGTCCTTAGATGTCGTGGAAATGGAGATAAAACGTCAAGAAATCATTAGATGCGACGTTTTATTGAACCAATAGTAGCTTAGAGCTATTAGCAATTGGATTGTTTACCTTAAAATATTAAGTGTTAAGACAAGCCAAAGCATGCTTAATCACTTTTTGATTTTTGGGATCTTGGAATCATTTCATTTTCTCCTAAAAGGGACAAATTTAATGTGTGGATAAAACGCTCAATAAGATTGAAAATTTGCATGTATGCTTTAAATTTCAAACTTATTTGTTTTATGAATGGTTTTTCATTTCAAATTCTTTCAATTGTAGAATCATGCCTGCAACTAATAACAACAACAACTTAATGTGCCCGGAACTCCCCGATAAGTTGGCTTTTAGCGCAAACTTGGTAAACTTCAAGGAATGGAAAGAGGAACTCCGGAAAACTCTTCGGAATTGTTCTATAGTGTACATTCTTGATACTCCCATTCTAAGCTTCTTCTCTAAGGGAATCATGAGTGATGAAGCTCATGATGCACGATCTTCCGATTGCAAGAAAGTCTCACGACTAATGGCTAATTCCATTCCGGAAGAATGGAAGGAAAAGTTCTCCTATTTTCCGGACATGTTCCTCAAAGCACTTGAGGACATTGTCAATGTGAGATTCATCAAGAGTCTCAATGGAAACTATGATGGACTTGTGTTTTATGTGACTAGTTCACTCTCAAACATGAAGATAAAGCCACTGGAAGAGGGTTGTCTTGCTAAGGAGTGGTACCGGCTTTGGTCAAGGGTTTACAATACCAAATTGAGACCCGGTATGCCCCTCCAACCTCATGTGCTTAGAATGACTAGGTTCTTCAAGCACATGGAGCTTCTTAGAATGCCATTGGAGGATGAGATGACGGGTAATATCTTGCTTGCCTCACTCCACTCGGGCTATGATGCACTTAGGATTCTTATAGCTGGGGGAAAGGAGTCACACTCTTTAAGAGATATGGTGTAGCTACTTCGCAAAGCCAACTCCTATGGAGCAACCAAAATGCTGTTGAGACCAAAGAAGGAGTTCAAGAACAAAGCGAAGATGCGATGCTTCTATTGTGGTGGGAAAGGCCATTGCAAAAGGGAATGCAAGATCTTCCAAAGGGATGAGGAGAACAAGAATGTGTATAAGCTTTTCATAGGTATTGGATACCATGTATGACTTACTTCATGCTCCCATTTTTAGGGACCAAGTGAGAGGGCTTTACAAGTGGATGTGCAACCACGAGCAGACAATGAAGATGGTCTTTCCGTCATGCTTGTAGGCACATCATTTGTCTTTGGCTTGTAATATAACTAATTCTTGTTTATCATGCTTACTGTTGAACATATTTTGATCTATGGCGTTGGACGCCGGGTTATTTGATCACAAGACTATAACAATGGTTGTTTTTGAATATCTTGCTTATATGTTTTATGAGATCACACATTTTATATGTGACTAGAAAAGTGTTAATGATACCACCAAAAGAGTTAAGATCATTGAGTCGAATGAAACCTACTTGTGGCATTGTCGTCTTGGCCACATTAACATCAAACGCATCAAGAAACTTCTACAAGAAGGTATTCTTGACTCATTCGACTTAGAGTCGTTTGAAAATTCCGAAGGATGTTTATTAGGCAAGATGATAAAGCAACCATTCTCCAAGTTGGGAGAAAGGGTTAGTGACCTATTGGGTCTTATACACACGGATGTATGTGAACCAATGAGTACACCCGCAAGGAATGGTTATCGCTATTTATCACTTTCACGGACGACTATAGTAAATATGGATATGTCTACCTTATGTCAAACAAATCTGAATCTTTTGAGAAATTCAAAGAATTTCAGAGTGAAGTGGAAAATCAGCTTGGCAAGAAAATCAAAGCGCTTCGATCGGATCGAGGTGGCGAGTATTTGAGCCATGAATTCAACGATCATCTGAAAGAGCATGGTATTCTCTCAGAGTTGACACCTCCTGAAACTCCACAATGGAACAGAGTGTCCGAGAGGAGGAATCGAACCTTGTTAGACATGGTCCGATTAATGATGGGTCTTAGCGATCTTCCTATCTCTTTCTGGGGACATGCACTTTGAACCGCGACACTAACATTAAACCAAGCTTCGTCAAAAGCTGTCGAAAAGACTCCATATGAATTATGGACGAAGATACCTCCAAGGTTGTCTTTTCTTAAGATTTGGGGTTGCGAAGCATATGTCAAGAAGTTAATTTTTGACAAACTTCACCCAAAATCAGACAAGTGTTTCTTTGTGGGATACCCAAAAGAAACTAAAAGGTATTACTTCTACAAAAAATCCGAGAACAAAGTGTTTGTTGCTCGTGATGGTGTCTTTTTAGAGAATGAACACCTTTCCAAAATGACAAGTGGGAGGAAAATTGAACTCGATGAAGTTCGAAAGGATGAGCAACAAAGTCAAACTGACAAAACTGACAATCAAAGTGCTTTAGAAGCAGCTGTTGACATTGGTCAGAGTCAAACCGACAATGTGCAAAGTTAAACTGACAATGCAAATGCTCAAACTATTACCCTGCGTAGGTCGCAACGACCAAGATCTCAACTAGATAGATATCTCGGTGTTTTCTTATCGAGGATCAAGACATCCTAGATGTGGATGGAGATGAGCCAGCGACGTACAAGCAAGCTATGACGAGCCCCGACTCTGCAAAATGGCAAGAAGCCATGAAATTCGAGATGGACTCCATGCTTGAAAATCAAGTATGGGACTTGGTTGATTTGCCCGAAGGTTACACACCAATCGGTTGCAAATGGATTTCAATTTGACAACCGATAAAGATGGAAATGTATATGTATACAAAGATAGATTAGTGGCAAAAGGTTACATGAAAATTCACGGGGTTGATTATGATGAAACCTTTTCACCAGTTGCAATGCTTAAGTCCGTCCGGATTATCCTAGCAATTGCTGCATATTACGATTACGAAATATGGCAGATGGACGTCAAAACCGCCTTCCTAAATGGAATTTTGGAAGAAACTGTGTACATGACACAGCCGAAAGGTTTTATGGATCCAAGCAATTCTAGGAAGGTATGCAAGCTTAAGAAGTCCATTTATGGATTAAAGCAGGCAAGCAAAAGTTGGAATCTGCGATTTGATAAAGCCATTAGTAAGTTTGGTTTTATCAAGAATCCAGATGAGTCTTGTGTTTACAAGAAGGTCAGTGGGAGTGACATCGCATTCCTCGTCTTATATGTCGATGACATATTTCTCATTGGAAACATCGTTCCAATGTTAGAGTCTATAAAGGCTTTGCTTAGAAAGTGTTTTTCAATGAAGGACTTGGGAGA